CACCCCTTCCCCCGCATGCAGCTCTGCCCCGACCCCCGTCCCCGTCCCATACCTGCCCCCGCCCTCGCCCCTGCCCTCGCCCCGCCCCTGCCTCTGGCCCTGCCCCCGTGCCACGGTCACTCCCGGCCCCACACTGATGGCCATCCCGTCCCGGCCAGGCGCGGGTGTGTCCCAGGTAGGGATCTGAGGTGGAGGAAAAATGACTTTGTGGCTTTTCTACCAGGGGTGCGCGCCGTCACTGCACACCCCCCATTTTTTTTTTTTTTTCCGGGGGAGCGGAGGGGGGGGTCCAGACCCGGGGGTCGGGCCTGCCCACCCCTGGACCCCCGGACCTCCACCAGGGATCCTGGGCCGGGGATGGACAACCCACAGAGAGAGAGAGAGAGAGAGAGAGAGAGAGAGAGAGAGAGAGAGAGAGAGAGAGAGAGAGAGAGAGAGAGAGAGAGAGAGAGAGATTTTGTTTGTTGTCAGCGATATGGCATGCGCAGAAGTGACACACCATTTTCAGTTCGTCCTGCTCGTCTGCTGTGTGTGGCTCCAGAGAGGGTCGGGGGGCCGGGGGAGGGGGGGGATCAGTGAAGGGGAGGATTGTTCTTAGGTGGTTGTGAGGGATTATTCTTTCAGTTGATGATTGTATGATTGTATATGTTGCTCATAGTTCATATGGTCCGCCGAGTTTTATGTTACTAAATTAATTGAATGTAGTTTGATTTAGTAGTTCTTGTAAAATTATAATTTATTCATATTTTAATATCTTATGTGATTCTCAGATTCTCAAACTAAATTATGTTGACACTGGTTAATAACTTGACATTGACTTGTTGATGGCAGAATGAAAGCAGTTTTAGTTGTGCATACTAAGGTTGGCAAAAATGTCTGTGTGAAATGTCGTGGTGATAGCAAAGGCTGTGAGCAAAAAATTGAGTTCTTTTTTATCCTGTCTATTTCACAAATGTCAGGGTGATAGAGAAAACTGTGAGCGAAAACTTGAGTGTTTGCTTGTTGCACTTCTTGGCACCAACAACCTTGTTGAACTTTTACCAGGGACTTGAGCCGGACTGCAGGCAGTTACCTTTGGGAACAAGGACCTGCAGAACATGTGCCTCTCCTCGGTCTGTGGCTCGTTCATTCTGCTGGACGCACCAAAAGCAATCTACTTGTCAATCGTGGATGCATCTTGCAAGTCATTTATTTGGAATTATTTTGCAATCAGACTCACTTTCTTCTTCACTTCGCATACATGCAAACAGATGGCAATTCACACTGGCGCTGTGCGCCCACACAAAGCTCAGAGATACTCAAGTCGAGAACACAGTTTAGATACAAACTCGCTTCCAACTGGCTATGGCGCCTGAGCGCCCACACATCCCCTGTACAACACAGTGTTCGCCCAACTGTTCACACGCACTCGACTCAGGATCTCCCTGGATATCCCACACACATACACTCCGTAACGCACACGCACACACACACTCTGACTAACACCTATCGCTAGCTATGGCAGCTATGGCCGCCAGCTACCACTAACTACAAGCAGCTATGGCTGCTCTACCTCCGCCTCGGCCCACTTCAACTACAGGCATCTGCAGGCCACCTTGCACAATATGCTAGGGCAGCGCTTCCGCATGGCTCACGCAGGAATCAATGAATGGCTGGACGCTGCCTCTTGATTTATACTTCTGTTGGCCGCTGGTCTGCCCTTTTCCACCGGGCCCCTGGTGCACACAGTCCCACATGGTACTTGCTGACTAGACAAAGTAAGACTGGGACTGGGTACCGCTGACTAGACAAAGTTGGACTGCCTACTTGCTCACATACCTCTGGCCTAACGTGGGAAACTCTCGAAAGGCCACTTCCGGACCTTTCGGAAGTCTGTGGACTCGGCCTTTCGAAACTGTAGCAGCTACCACCGTGACCTTTCAGATTTGTAGCAGCTACGACTTTGACCTTTCCGACTTGCATGGACTATGACCCCTACACAGGTATGACCTCTACTTCGACAGGTCTACGGTTCAAGACCCAACGCCTACGCAGACCTAAAACAGACCACAGACAGCTATCAAAACACAGGTTACGGGTTCAAAACACACAGGGGTCGACTTTGATACTGTACACGGGTAAGGTAAGGTCTAGGGATCGAGCCCTGGAATCTTCATCTGTTACCGAAAAGGTGAAAAACCGTTTCACTCCCGCCGGCCTAAATTCGAGGTCCTCCGAGAATATTTCAGTCCAAGGCAGGAACTTTTCCTTTCCTATCTCTCTCATAGGCTCGAACTACATCGGGAGCTGTCTCTAGAGGTTCTGTTCGTGTGAACCAGCAGTTGTCTTGTTGTTCCTGAAAAGAGAATCTAACTTTATACTGTTTCTGTGGACGACCTCTACCTCCTGTTCAAAACACATCTTCACCTACTATGCTGTCAATGCCGTACCTTCCATCCATGTCCGGAGGGATCATGGAGCTTCGTGACGGAAACTGTTGACTTGTGGTACAGGGTAACAACTTTGACGCATGAAAAAGTGGGTAAGTGTGGAGGTGTGCCGTAATCTCGACTGTGTCAGAAGGTCCATCCTCTCCGCCCTTGACTTCTAGGACTGGCCACGGTCCTCGGTATGCACGCAACAACTTCCGCGAGATGTTGTCCTCAGGAGCAAACTCCTTTGATTTGACTCAGACTAAGTCGCCTACTTGGAACTGCGATGGGCGACGGTGTTTGTTAGCTTCCTCTGTCATCCTGTGTTGGGCCTTCCTGAGGTTCTCTGTGACGGTAGCAATCTCTTTCTTAGTTTAGTGCAAACTTCCTAGTACCGGGCTGTAGCCTCTGAATCTGATCCCGGTTTAGTCCCTCAAACGGTCTGTGCGGTCTAAAGGACTTGGGAAACTCGTTGGGAGTGCGACAAGTCGCTAAGTGCACGCTATTGTTGTATGCGCTGGCTACCTTGGGAAGCATCTCATCCCAGTTAATTTGATCGGGTCTAATATACATTCGGAGAACTTGCTGCAGGATTTTGTTCATCTGTTCAGTCTGACCGTTAGTCTTTGGATGACAGCCAGATGACATTAACAACTTAGCCGTAGACTCTCATCAATTCCTGCCAGTTCTGACTTGTGAATCTGGTATCTTTGTCACTAACTATTGACAACGGGAGACCATGATCACTGACCCATTGATCAAAGAACTTATCTATGACTAAATCTGTACGCACCTCAAAAGGCAAAGGGACAAAAACTGCATACTTACTAAATCGATCTACTATAACCATGACTTGGCTCTTGCGATGCCTACTCTTGACCTCAGCATCCATAAAGTCAATGGACAAAATCTTCGGGTCCTTCGGGAATAGGCAAGGGTCTGAGAAGACCAAGAGGGGCTTGCGTAGTGGTCTTGTTCCGCTGGCATACCTTACAGCAGTGCACGCACTCTATACAGTCAGCTTGCATGTCGGGCCATGTATATGCACGAATGAGGTTAGCTAATGTCTTCTGCCAACCAAAATGTCCCTCTATGTCGTGACATTCCCCTAAGATCAGACTACGGATCTCTTCACATAATGTTCCAAAGGGAGCTAGAGGAGCTGCGCAAGCAGTTAGATGACCTCCTGGAAAAGGGTTGGATTAGGCCAAGTTCATCTTCGTTTGGAGCACCTGTTCTTTTCGTCCCCAAGAAGGAGGGAGAGCTTAGAATGTGCATAGAGTATAGAGGTGTCAATGCCGTCACACTGAAAAATGCCGAACCACTGCCCCGTATAGATGATATGTTGGATCGGGTGCATGGTTGTAAGTACTTTTCAGAGATAGATTTGAAGTCTGGTTATCATCAGATAGAGGTACATCTCTATCTGGTTCATTGATTCCGGCGTGAGCCATGCGGAAGCGCTGCCCTAGTGTCTTGTGCGAGGTGGTCTGCAGGTGCCCGTAGTTGAAGTGGGCCGAGGCGGAGTTAGAGCAGCCATAGGTGCTTGTAGTTAGTGGTAGTTGGCGGCCATAGCTGCCATAGCTAGCGATAGGTGTTAGTCAGAGTGTTTGTGTGCGTGTGCGTTACGGAGTGTATGTGCGTGGGATATCCAGGGAGATCCTGAGTCGAGTGTGTGTGAACAGTTGGGTGAACACAGTGTCAGACAAGGGATGTGTTGGCGCTCAGGCGCC